GCTTTTTCAGCATCTTTCAGCTCATTGTTTAGCTGTTTGGCCATAACTTCACTGTCTTGACTCACTCTCACCGCTCTCATAGCATTATTTTTGGCCGCAGCAGGCAGCTGTTTTGAGTGAAAAAGCTCTAAAAACCCAGCATACACTACCTGCTCGGCTCCAAACAGCAGACAGACACAGTTGGCGACCAGCTGGTGGTGAACATAGGGGAGCATTTAGCAGCTAAAGACCCAGATGTTTTTCTCAAGATTTGGTAGAGACCAAAAACAGAGCTAAATGAAAAGTACATTTTGGACATTTTCCTGGTGGACACCACCCCAAATGAATGCTAATGTTTCTCCATATCTGCTGTGTGTGTAAATAGGCAACAACAGCATTCATTATAAACCATCGTAAGAGACTTAAACACCTAACCGCCTTATTAAAGGTGGGGTCTCCCTAATGCAGAAATAATTCAAAGCCACCTTGAAATGATTTGTCTCATGGGACTACAAAAACTATAAATATAAAGACTCATTTTCATGCTTAAACACAGACTGTGAATTGACATTCATGGGTGTTAGTGAGCTGTGGCCCATCATATTAGAGGTAAACAAGTTATTAGTCTCACCTTGAATGTCACTGGTGTCGGCCTGAAAAGTTGGAAAATTGATTAGTACAACTTTTTTACAACTTTTTTTGTAGAGGACTTCATTATGGTGTTTCAGATATCTCGTCCGTGCTCTGAGTCTGTCCATGTTGTCCTGTAGGTTTATCCTGTCAGCCCTCAGTGCGAGCCAGAGAAACGTGGTCAACTGCGCGCTGTGCCACAGAGCGCTGCCTGTGTTTGAACAGTTTCCTTTGGTGGACGGGACTCTGTTTCTCAGCCCTTCACGCCACGACGAGATTGAGTATGACGTCCCCTGCCACCTTCAAGGTCAGACCTGGTTTCAAGATCATGGCATGAGTTAACATAGCTTAAGATAACGCACACATTTTGTACATTTGATTCACAAATATGTGAATAGCCGTGCTACCAGTGTGGCTCTATGGAGGTCTGTTGGTGGGTCAGTCCACCACTTTGGTCAAGACTTATAATAAAATATCTCAAGAACTATGGGATGCATTTCTATGAAATTTGGAAGAAAGACATTGATTGTTCCCCGAGGATGAATCCTAATGATCCCACGAGGTTGACATTTTTACTTTTTATTTTCTTTTTTTTTTTACTACTATTTGGATGCATAGCCATAAAATTTGGTTCAGGCAATCATGTTCTTCAAATAACTTCAATGATCCCTTAACGTTTCATCCAGCATCATCATCAGGTCAATATTTTTATTTGTCCAATGCTCTGGTATATAACTAAATATCTCCATAAACCTCAGCTGTACTTTAATGCTAGTCAGCAAATGTAAGCATGAAAATAAGACGAGGAACATAAATACCTGCAAAACCAAAGCATGTTCATTGTGAGCATGCTGATGTGCAGCCTCACAGACACCCAAAATTACCATCTGCGAGTTAGAGAAAATAAGATAATGCTATTTACTGTGTTTAGTTTGTACTGTGGGTACAGTGTTTAATCTAATAAACCTACAGAAACACATTAAGCAAGTAGCTATCAAGCTGTGGATCTACAGGACATCAGCTGCCAGCATTGCTTTCTAATCAGGAAAAAAAATACATATTTAGTGGTTACATGAATTGCAATCATTAGCATGTCATTTTGCTCAATTAAATTATGACTTTCTATCTAAAATGTTCAAACCGTGTTAGCTTTCCTTTCTGTATAGACAGATTACGACTGGTTAATCCATCAATAAGATCATACTGTGTATATAGATAAAAGGTTTTCTGCTCGCTTCTGCGCAGTCTAACATGAATGTGAATTAGCACGGCGGCTGCATGAAGCTTCTTTGATGTGCTGACCCACAAGCTTTGATATGTATGGACCTTGATATACAGATTATTTATTCCTTTTTTCATGCTTTTGCATCAGGCAGAATATAAATGTTGGCGAAAGAAATGGTTGAATCGTGCTGTACTGTTAAAAAGCGAGGTTTGATTAAAATTGGTGTTGTCAGTGTTGCTTTGTTTATTCAGCGGCTTTTTCTCCCTTAAGAGGGTAACCTTTGGAGCTTGATTTTGTCTTAAGAAAATAGAAAAGCATGTGTGTGTTTTTAGTGAGCAAGTTCACAGAAAACACACCAAAATACCATAATCACGACTCCCTTGTGAACCAGCTTTGGCTCTGAATGCATTCATGTTTACAGTTATTTAGATAGTAGTAAGCTGTATTTTCTCCACAACTTCAGTTTGATGAGGTTTAAAGCTCTACTTGGCTCATGTAAATAAAAAAACACTAAATAAAATGACTTGCAGACAAGCCTGGCTTTTTTTCACATTCACACAGAGTCTGCACAGAGCTGGGAAAGTTTCTATGTGGTCTTTTAGGAAATGAAACCACATCAGTTAAAGGCATCATGGTAATTAGTTCTAGTCAACCTCTATATGCAGAGAAGCTTGGAGACAAACTCACTGACTTGTTACGTGGTATCTAACTATTCTACTTTATTTCTAACAGGCAGGTTAATGCACCTCTACGCCATCTGCGTGGACTGTTTAGAAGGCGTCCACAAGATTGTCTGCATCAAATGCAAGTCACGCTGGGACGGGAGCTGGCACCAACTGGGCACCATGTACACCTACGATATACTTGCCGCTTCACCCTGTTGCCAGGTAAAAATAATACTTTTAGGGGGCCAAGCGATACACTAAACTCAGAAGACAATGCTTAGCTAATGTAGTTATGATTTTGTTTTGTTTGTAAGAGCCTACACGGAGAAATACGTGTTTCAAAGTGAATAGTATTAAGTCATCATAGAATGGCAATCTGATTTATTCTGTTATCAGCATAACATTTTATAATTTTTAGGTTTAATGTTCTTTTAAATCCCAGTTTACATTGTCATTAAACAGCATTTTGAGCAAGTCAACATGCTATATGTAAATTAGCAAGCTTTGAAACAGTTACAGCAGGCTGTTATTGTGTGTAAATATTTATGAATTATAATCCTGATGCCCAAATCTCCATTAAGTAAAGACTTATAACAAGGCTTAGTTTGAATTTAAGAACGGCTTTTGTTGCATGTGATATCACAGGAGTTCTGAGCTTTTAACACCTGCAGTTAAAAGCTCAGAAAAAGCAAGTGGACCTTTGAGTTGAGATCTTTTTGTCACACATTTCACTTCCCCCTCTCCTCCCTGTGTCCTCAGGCCCGTCTCAACTGTAAACACTGCGGGAAGCCGGTGGTGGACGTCCGAGTGGGGATGCAGTATTTCTCCGAGTACAGTAACGTCCAGCAGTGCCCTCACTGTGGCAACCTGGACTATCACTTTGTTAAACCTTTCTCCTCCTACAAAGTACTCGAGGCTTATTGACAAATGCTGTTCGTGCATGCTAGTTAAGCTGCTTTTGTTCCAATTTTTTTTTCTAACACAACCTAGGAAAGATTATATTTTTTTGGGCCTTAAGGTGGTTTTATGTTTTTAAGTTCTGTCTCTTTTTGATTTCTTTTTTAAGTATAGGAAGAGTATGACTCTAGTTTAAAAAACAAACAAAAAAAAGTTCCAAGACAGTATCTTATCTCTGCTATTTAGAGAAAAGTGTTGATAAAGTGTGGAAGTGACGCTTCAGTCATGCAAACACATTTATCTGTGACAAGTGAATGTATCTGTACGCCAAATTTGCTTTTATTTTTTACCAAAAACATAAAGATGAATCTCAAATAAAGCAGAGAAAGATAGACATTGGTCTGATATCTTCATTGCATCTAAAACACTTTCTCCAAGGTATTATTGCAAGAGTGACTGCCTCTTCCATGCACTTTATTGCATATGACATATTATTGTGACAATCACCACCAGGCCGCAGACTGATCGGCAACTTCTTTTACCTGATCATCACCCTCTGGTCTATAAAGCTCACATGTAGGCGGACAAAAATCAAGTTCATTGTACCAAATGTCTACGCACAAACATCTGGTCCACACAGGTTACATTTATAGACGGGACACATAAGTAATGCAGATGCTCCCATAGCTGCATGATACTGTATAATCCACCAAGCCGATATCAGTGGCCGATGTTCATGTGTTGTGTCGCATAAATTTTGCACTGGGTAAATATTTTATTGGTTATTTTCCAACTCGGATATTGGAGAAATAATCTTGTACATTTTACAGCACTGGCACAAAGTGCACGCAATAGTTGCAACAAGGCAGAGATGCTTATATTTTGTAAATGTCTTTGTTTCCCAGCACTAAAGTGTGAATAAATAACAACAAAAAACATCAGCTATCGGCCAAATTGTTATTTTAAACATTGGTATTTCATTATCGGTGCATCCATGGAATCATAAGCTTGTCAGAGTCACCAGATCTCATCCCAATTTATGCGAGATGTTGGACCGACGGGGCTCTCCACAACCGTCATCATCAACAATACGAGGGAATATATTCTGAAAAAATGGCGTTGACACTTCCACTAGAGCTCTGCAACATTTGGAAACTATAACAAGGAGCACTGAAGTTGTTGTGGAGGCTCACTAAGACACTCTGTTGGTTTTAACTTTACTTTAAGGCTTTGATAAGGTAATGGTCAGGGGTCAGAGTTGAGTAACGGTTACGGTTAGGACGAGTAACGAATGTAAGTCAGTACAAAGTCCTCACACTTGCAGTAGTACAAGGTGTTTTGGTACTTTTCTGACTTTACAAACAGTGGAAAGATAACAGGAAATGAGCGAGAGATGCAACAAAGGGTCCCCCGCAGGGCACAAACCAGGACGGCTGCGGTTCATGATAACTGTTGGCACAGTGAAGTAAAAGCCTTTGGCAATTTAGATGATGATTGGCTGGGATTTTTTTCTACTACAGATATATTAGAACTGAATGCAGTGTTCAAACTCAGGGGCCCCATTCATTCATTCATTAAAAAAAAAAAAAGTCTTCGCTCACATGTACCGGGAATATTTTTATTATTTCTTTTCGCTTTATGGTTCACTCAGCGTTCTTTTTGTACAGTTATACCTACAGAAATCTCCCTCTCCACCTCCCTATAATTTACCAAAGAAAACCCATCAAAATACATACACAATACACTACAAGGAGAGCATGATGAAGGAATCTTCACCGCACTGTGACATTCAAGCACAGACTTTTTTTTTGTGTGAAAATGTTTGTGATTTCCGGCCGATCAACGCTCTGTAGACTCTTCTGCTGTGACCGTTGGTTTCTGAGTGGCTTTCGGACTGGAGCTGGCAGACTGCGAAGCTGCAGCCGCGTCCCTTTTTAGTTTTGCCAGTTCCTTTACTGAAGGTAGTCGGAGGACGCACATGGCTACTTTACCGTCCTGTTTGACTCGTGGCGGGCTAGCAAATCCCACCGCCATTCCCATTTGTTTCACCATCTGCTCCAGAGTGGTGTCCTGTGCATGGAAAGAACACAAATGTTAAGATATGTGTTGAGGTAAAATATAATATAAATGTATAACATAACATTTTCTACAGCATGAAATTAATATAAAAATAAAACTATTTAAATTATTCCATTTTAGCGCCTAGAGGCCGATACTGATATTCATATTTGAAAGTTTTGAAACCACGTAGAGGCTTGTATTTGTTTTTTTAACTCAAACAAGATTTTTTTTGATAAGGACCCCTTAAATATGGTTACTTAAGTTGTTTGTTTTGGCAGATGGTTTTAAATCTCTGATAATATTTTGAACCTGTTTCATGCTTAGAGGAAGGCATAGACAAATGACAAAATAGATAATGTGAAGTGATGTGTAATGCGTTTTCTTCTTTACGTTAGACTGAAATGGTACGGTGCTCCCCATGCCACTACTAGGGTCATCCACACACCTAAAGGAGGTCACAGGTCACTGCCTGTGCCTCCTCTTTGTTAATTTGTCCCCCTCTCTGCCTGTTTGGCTGACTAGACTATGCAGAGAAGCTGATAAGGGTTGAACACTGAGCACTCGACATATCCTAAGTTCCACTTTGTTACAGAAGACCAAGGTTGAGAGATAAATCTCTAGAGCTAGTCTAGCTGTCTCCTGGTTATACAGCGTTGTAAGCAACTATAGGGGTCATTCAACATGACTTGGGATAGCGTAGGTGGTTTAGAGCTTGTTTTGAACCACTACCCAAATGGATCTTCCCAAATATGTAGCTTCGTAAAGTCATGACCATATTTGAGACACTAGCGGATCTCGCGGCCTAGGTCTGTGTTAAATATCCCTCGACAGGAGGTGACCTTCAAAATTGGGTTGGCATTGCACTGTGCTTCACTTGTATTGCTGACCTTGTTCTCCTTAATACATATAAGTCACCCAGGTATCCTTCAAACTCTTCTTTGAAGTTTTCCATCACAGGTAATACATAGATTTTATTATGTCAACTTTGTTTATGAAGGACAAATGTGGGATGATTTCTTGTATCCATACCTGCTGAAAACCCAGACATTTTTATATCATTTTATCATTTGTTGTTTGTACTACTTAAATTTGTGAGCGTTCAGTGCACCTGTGCCCTAGGGGATAAGGTGCTGACCACGAATCCCTCATTTCCTGACCTCTCTCCACTGTCTCTATCAAACAAAGGCAAAAACAACAACAACAAAAAACGAGAGTTCTTCCTCACCAGTTTGACTGCGGTGTCCACAAATCTTGATCGCAGAGTAATTCTAACATGGTACTTCTTCTCCAGCCAGCTCTCCACTTGTTTCAGCTTTATGCTGAGGTCATGAGCTGCGATGGCAGGTGAAATTGTGAGCTCTTTTATCTGCAGAGTGTCTGTGGAGAGAATATAGTGTATAGTACCATTTCATACGGCGTGTTTGTCATACTGTGTGTGGGATGTTTTTTTACTGTAAGATGTACTGATGATACCGAGATGGAACTGCCTGACGCAAGGTAATGACTCACTTCACAGGATAATGGGGCCTTGCTTAAAGAAACACTCTGACTGGATCCCAATTGGAAATTATTTAGTTAATACCTCTTATAGCTTTAGGTCAGAAGTGGTTTTCGGAAGTGTTTTAATAAATGTATATCCCCATGAGACTAACTACGATTCACATTTGGCAAAAGAGTATGGTCTATAAATTGTTAGGGATGCATGACATCATTTTTTTCTTTTACCAATAATAGATAATCACCTGCTTCCAATAGCCAATACTGATAAGATATACGCTCATAACCTGTATTTTAAGCACACCTGAGGGTAAGAAAGGCTAAGATATATTGAGCAAAGATGGATGATTTAATACAGTGGGTACGGAAAGTATTCAGACCCCTTTAAATTTTTCACTCTTTGTTTCATTGCAGCCATTTGCTAAAATCAAAAAAGTTCATTTTATTTCTCATTAATGTACACTCAGCACCCCATCTTGACAGAAAAAAACAGAAATGTAGAAATTTTTGCAAATTTATTAAAAAAGAAAAACTGAAATATCACATGGTCATAAGTATTCAGACCCTTTGCTCAGTATTGACTAGAAACACCCTTTTGAGCTACTACAGCCATGAGTCTTCTTGGGAATGATGCAACAAGTTTTTCACACCTGGATTTGGGGATCCTCTGCCATTCTTCCTTGCAGATCCTCTCAAGTTCTGTCAGGTTGGATGGTGAACGTTGGTGGACAGCCATTTTCAGATCTCTCCAGAGATGCTCAATTGGGTTTAGGTCAGGGCTCTGGCTGGGCCAGTCAAGAATGGTCACAGAGTTGTTCCGAAGCCACTCCTTTATTATTTTAGCTGTGTGCTTAGGGTTATTGTCTTGTTGGAAGGTGAACCTTCGGCCCAGTCTGAGGTCCTGAGCACTCTGGAAGAGGTTTTCTTCCAGGATATCTCTGTACTTGGCCGCATTCATCTTTCCTTCAATTGCAACCAGTCGTCCTGTCCATGCAGCTGAAAAACACCCCCATAGCCTGATGCTGCCACCACGTTTCACTGTTGGGATTGTATTGGGCAGGTGATGAGCAGTGCCTGGTTTTCTCCACACATACCGCTTAGAATTAACGCCAAAAAGTTCAATCTTGGTCTCATCAGACCAGAGAATCTTATTTCTCATAGTCTGGGAGTCCTTCATGTGTTTTTTGGCAAACTCTATGCGGGCTTTCATATGTCTTGCACTGAGGAGAGGCTTCCGTCGGGCCACTCTGCCATAAAGCCCCGACTGGTGCAGGGCTGCAGTGATAGTTGACTTTGTGGAACTTTCTCCCATCTCCCTACTGCATCTCTGGAGCTCAGCCACAGTGATCTTTGGGTTCTTCTTTACCTCTCTCACCAAGGCTCTTCTCCCACGATTGCTCAGTTTGGCTGGACGGCCAGGTCTAGGAAGAGTTCTGGTCGTCCCAAACTTCTTCCATTTAAGGATTATGGAGGCCACTGTGCTCTTAGGAACCTTGAGTGCTGCAGAAATTCTTTTGTAACCTTGGCCAGATCTGTGCCTTGCCACAATTCTGTCTCTGAGCTCCTTGGGCAGTTCCTTCGACCTCATGATTCTCATTTGCTCTGACATGCACTGTGAGCTGTAAGGTCTTATATAGACAGGTGTGTGCCTTTCCTACTCAAGTCCAATCAGTTTAATTAAACACAGCAAGACTCCAATGAAGGAGCAGGACCATCTCAAGGAGGACCAGAAGAAATGGACAGCATGTGAGTTAAATATGAGTGTCACAGCAAAGGGTCTGAATACTTATGACCATGTGATATTTCAGTTTTTCTTTTTTAATAAATTTGCAAAAATTTCTACATTTCTGTTTTTTTCTGTCAAGATGGGGTGCTGAGTGTACATTAATGAGAAATAAAAGTAACTTTTTTGATTTTAGCAAATAGCTGCAATGAAACAAAGAGTGAAAATTTTAAAGGGGTCTGAATACTTTCCGTACCCACTGTATATCATAGCCCTGACCGAACTAATTCTAACTATTGGCTATAATTTAATTATCGGAATAATATGCAATATAATTTTCCCATTATCAGCCCCGATATGTACTGTGCATATGTACCCTACAAACAGCTCCCAATCTGTGTACATTTATTGACAGTTTTGAATTTTGAATTTCAAGTACAGCATTCTTCACCAGACACAAAGACTTCAAGGTTGTGATGAATATCTTTTAAAACAGTGGTACTCAACCTTTCTAGCTTGTAACTCTTTGAATTTAATAAGACTCCACCCTCTTCTTATTGTTGAATTTCAGTATTTTTTAGGGCCCCGAAAGGTAAAACTTCCTTGTAGCAAAAATATGTTCTTTCTTCCTAACTTGTTAATCATCTTGTGACCGCTCAAGGATCCTGACACCTCCACCGAGGTTGGAACCACCACATACCTGGTTTCGGTTTCTCTTTCTCTCGCTGTTTCAGCTGCTCTTCGTAGATCTGTTTGCCGCTCATCAGCTGATAGACGGGAGGATTTTTGTGTTCACTGACCAGCGCCAGTTTGAGACCCTTTGACTCCATGAGTTTGATCGCAACTAGACGGTGCATGGTGCCCAGGCTCTCACCTGTGTCACTCAGAACCTCTATGTCAGGATGCGGGATGTTACGACCAGCACTGGTGATTGTGACACAAGCTTGGGGGTCTGGCTTCTTTTTCTTTGGTGCAGGAGTCTCTTTTTCATTGTTGACTACAGTGGTGGAGAATTGAGACCATCTCCAGAAGGAAATAATGGTGTTAGATCTTTCACTGCAAATGTTAAATCTTGATGCGGGTGTCCAGTAGCCAGGGCTGCCACTACATACAGCTCTCACTGTACGGCTTAGCACCCACCTCACACAACCTGCAGACATGTCCTAGATAAAAAGAGAGAGGGGACTGAGCTGCAAGAGTTGATGAAACAGAATTATTTAGAAAAAGGCCATAATGGAGAATGCATTTTATCCCAATCTTAAGAATTTATCTTAATACTTAAGCTTAATAATATTAAGCTTATCTACAGATAACTGTAGATGACGGTACATATTTACATAAAAAGCGTTTGACATTTTTGCCAAAAGTTTACCATCAATTTATGAGTGTTTAAGTTTATATCTGATATAATGTGTTTAACACGTAGGTCTACATTCAGTACCATCCATTGCCTTGCTTTCCTCATGCTATCTCTTGCCTGTGTAGGTAATGTGAGTAGTGTCTTTTAAGACACCTTTGGGTGTGTGACACCTTCATAAAAGAATCTCTGTATCATTAGTAGCATCTCGATTTAAACTTATAAACACAATGGATCACTATGAACAGCCAATCCATAGTGTTGTGAAATGTTCCAGTGTCTGCAGCACCCCGCCCTACCAGGCTGCATTAAAACATCTGACAATTAAAAGTTTCCCTTACTTATCTGTCACTGCACACACCACACAAATCACAAAAAATACATTTTCCAAACCTTCAGGATCCACTGTGGTATTCGGGATACATTACACTTACTTTATGACTTACTTTCGGAAGTTTTACACGCATTTTTGCATAACACTGACGTTGGTTCACGTAATCCTGACACACGTCTACTACAGTTAAAACACTCGGTATGGTCGTGACTACTGCTTGATTGTGAAACATTTAATGGAAAGTTCATCGGTTAAGTACACCCGAACTGACCAGCAAACCTTAGACATTAATAAAATGCATCACAGTAAATGCATCGTGTTACACTGGGTGAGGATTTAGCACGCCAACATTAAATCGTACGATTTTAAACGTGAGTTTGGAGTTAACCGAGAAAGGCGTTCTAGGCCTAAAGGTCATCTAGGCTGAGTTTAATATAGGCCTAACACTGTGGAAACAATGTCATTTGAATTAATAAACTATCGGTGTCATTGGCACTTTGGACAAGGCGTCCTAGATGTTATTAACTCACATAAAGTGAAACCGTGTCAAAAACCATTCCTGCAGGCACAAATTAGAGCTTATAAACGCTAATATCTAAGTAAATAAATTCCCCAAACGTGTATTATGTTGTTGTGGAGCACTCACTGCAGTTCAATGTCGTTTTTTCATGCTCTCTGTTGTAGGGCGACTGGTGTGTGTCTTCTTCCGCCATGTACTTCTTCTTTTAGCTCATGTGAGTCAGGATAGATGCAACAAAACCACGATGCTGCCCTCTTCTGGACAAGGCAGGACACGTCGTTATCCTTTAAAGGCTCGGTTCATCCAAATTACAAAATAGTTCACATTTGCCCCAAGTACTCTCCCCGTCCAGTTTTACTTGCCAGATTTTTGAATTGAGTTTTAGATTTTTGTCTCCGTTTTAAAGGACCAGTGTGGCTGGAGACCTCTCCTCTGTAGATAAAAACGGCTCATTTTAAGGTATAAAAAACAAAACGCTTCCTCTATTCAGGTGATTATACACCAATGATAACATTCTATCCCATTTCTGATGACAGATCCTCCCAACACGCTGGAGGTTTAAAAACTCTTTCCATAAACCAATAATTCAGATCCTTTACTTAAAACTGTCATAACTGATTTTTATTTTTTTGGGCCACTTGATAGTGGAAACAATAAGGCTCAGTATTTAAACATCCGACAGACGCAGAGCAACATTTAATTTGGAGTCATGTTTCTGTAAGTCCAATATTCACTCTCCTTTAAGCTCTGTTTGAAACTCATCCAGCCCCTGTGGGTAATATCTGGCTCTGTAGCTACTAAATGCTTCTTTGAGATCACCACTAACTTTGTCCGTCTGCTGTTTGGTGCTGGACTGTGCAGTGAATTTATCAGAGCTTTCTCATTCAAAACAGGTGCGAGTGAACCAAAACAGCAATGATTTAGATTGTAAGAACAAAACAATTAGCTGAAAGAGGATAAAATACTATGTGGAGCTACAGAGTTGGGTGAGAATTGTCTGTGGGTTTGTTATGAGCATTACACATCTCAATCTTTTTTTTAATTAAACAATATAAATGCAGCTTTAATGCCCCAGATAAGAAGAGAAGATTGATAACTCTCATCTATTTGTCTGTTCAGTATAAATCTGCAACCAGCAGCTGGTTAGCTTAGTTTCATGTAAAGCTAACAGGGGGAAACAGCCATAGACAATATATAATGTATATATGTCTATGGAAAAAACTTACTCAGCCTGGCTCTGTCTGTAAATGTGCAAATAATATATACAAGGGAACAAAATCCATCATATGATATATAAATATTATTTCTGGGGGGGTCAGTCACAAATAAATATTCTTTTGTTTTGTATTTCATAATTAATGTAGGAAAGTTATAATTTAAATGATCATATGTCAGGTATTTCTGCTGTACGGAAGCGTTTGAGCAGGCTGCTGTACACAGGTGTAACCTAGGAAATAAATACAGAGAGCCATGCCAAAAAAAACAAATCCCACAGGTGATGGAAAATATCTTCTGTTCCTGTTTCTCTCTTACACCTGATGCTATAAATAGTTCAACAACTGATCAGCCGAGTCTACCAGGCGGCCACAAAGAGAAGCAGTCTGCTTTAGCTCTGGAAAATATTGGAAATACCAGTATTAATGTTAAAGGCCAACATTTTCTGTTTGGATTTTTCCTGACAACCATTTTATTCTAGCCATTGTAGAGCACACACACACACACACACACACACACACACACACACACACACACACACACACACACACACACACACACAAACTGTATGGCCCCACAATGACAAAGAAGAGTAACTGTAGAAAAGCTGAAAAACCCAAAGGAGATCCCCGTTGTCAGGCTGGGTAAACACATAGATAGGATGTAATGACCTTGAATTAAATGTAATTGATAAATTGATACTTAAATACATTAAATAAGTGGTTTAAAAGTAGCTTAACCACACCTGACTAAATAGCTGAGATGGCAGGTCCGGCTACTCTAAGCTGGGCTAATTACCTGTAGCTGTTTGTGTTGGGTAACACATTACACTTCCAAGATGTTAGTTCACCAAAATTATATAATATATTTAAATAAATACATTTTGCTTGTGTTGGCACAGTTTGGTTTGGTGTTTAGCTCTGTACTACTTGTATTTCTCTGGGGTATTTCCAATTTCTCCATTACATTTATTTGACAACTTTAGCTAATTACTTTGCATATTTAGATTATTAATACACAGTATAATGTATTACTATGGATTAAGCTATCTGGCAGTATATAAAGTAGCTGAATGTTGCTAAAAGTAGCTGAAAGGATCATATAATTTGGACGTATTTGATCGGTTGGATATTTGTTGGAATTTGATATTAAATTATTGCAATTTGAAATATGTTAATTATTGTTTGTGACCTAATAAGTGAATCAGATTTTTAAAAAATCTGTTTAATTAGATAGGTGTAATAAAATTTCATAATTTTTTTGCAAAAATCACTTTAAATCAATTAAAACTGACAATTGTGCATATAAAGGAAAGATTTCAACATTTTACTTTGTTTATACATTCTTCTTAAATATTTACCATTTACTATAAGGAAGTGGTCCGCACTCAGCAGACACGATCCTTATCTGAATCCGGATCAGCATCATTTTTGTAAAGGTTATCCTCTTCCCACAACCCCTGAATTATTTTTTACACATTTAACATATTTTCCTTTAAGCACAAGCTAGTGTATGTCTTCATTTTGTAATCTTCACTGGACGGTCATCCAAGCGTGATGTTATTTTGGGTCGTTTTGCATAAGGGAGTGGCACAAGGATTCATTATGGTACTTTCAGGAACTGGGAATTTGTAAAACAAATTATCTGCAGCTATGCAAAGTCAACAACAACATATTCATCTGGCCAAAAGGTTCAGTTGCTCTTGTTTAGTGCTGCTGTTCAGTGCTTTGGCGTTACTTCAACCAGAGAAGGATACGAATTAAAATACTAATTTGTGACGGACGATACCTTACAGAAAAAGTACTGTGGAGCAATACTTATTTATCTGTTTAAGCAGTGACTGGCTTTCACATCCTGACTGAGGCTTAATGCCATCAACAGAACATGAACTGGACCATTTGGGTTTTGTTTGTGGGCCTTCTGTGGATTGGTAAGTAGACACAATCTCCAAGTAAAGCCTGATAATAAGCTTAGTATCTCTGTTGAACTTCAAACAAGTGCTTGTATTTCACACATTATTCTAAGAAATTACAATTTGTAAACATTACCTTAGAGAACTGGAACAGAGATCTACTTTGGCTATTATAATGTGTAACACATGTTTTGTTAATATGGCATTTTCTGTGTAAACCTATGTGATTTGATTATTGTTTTTTAGCCCAAGGAGAGAAACCCTGCAAAGAAGATAGTACTTGTGATGTGAGAAGTTGTTTGCTCAGCGAAACAAAAAAAAGTTTGGTTATTCCTGACAACTTCAATGGCATCATCAGCAATCGTATCTATTTGAATCTGAGTGAGTCAAAATTATAATAAACATTTGAATACAGTATTTGTTGATTTATCACAAGCTCTAGAAACTGCGTTAGTTCTGAATTTTTTTTTTAATCTTGATTTTGCTTTCAATGAGACAATTAGTTTGTTTCAAGCATACTATGAAAGTATTATGAGTTACTACCTGAAAGAAAACCACTGTGTTCTTTACCTCTCAGCCGCAGATTATTGCATAATATTTCTGCAGAGAAACCAGACAAACCAAGAAAACCAACGTGAGTACTACTTGTGTGCCACAGGAAATCATTCCTGCCTGTGGTCATCAATCTCTACAACGCCTCCCTCAGAGAGTCAGACACCCTCTCTCTGTAATCTGACCTCAAACACAAACATCCACTTCTGCACTTTCTTCTTTCTTGCACATTTTCAAAACTGTACATTTTACACTTTACCTTGTGCAATTTATTTATATATAGATATGTTCTTAATAATATTATATGTTGTATGTAAATATGTTGTATGTTGATTTGGAGTTATAACGAAAGTAATTTCCCCCTGGGATTATTAAAGTATTTCTGATTCTGATTCTGATTCTGAAAGAATACTTCTACTAATAATAAAAAATACATAAGCATTTCAACAACACAAAAATCTAACTTTATTTTGGTTTTGAATTAACAGGAAAGTGGAGCCAACAGTGGCCTCAAATGCAAACAAACAATGGTTCCTATCAACTGCTCATTTCAAAATGGCATACCCAGAAAGATATACTGCTGTATGTTTTGAGCGGGAAGCGGTGCAACCATACACTCTCTGGGCTCGGAGGTGATATTACATAACTGTATTTTACATGTTCCAATGTCTTTTTTTGAGCAATACAAAATTAAAAATATTTCACCTTTACTTATTATCCAGTGCACAAGCGCAAATGAGAGGAACGTTGGAAAATATGTTTGCTTGTTTGTTTGTTTGTCTCTCTCTCTCTCTCTCTCTCTCTCTCTCTGTGTGTGTGTGTGTGTGTGTGTGTGTGTGTGTGTGTGTGTCCAACAGGTCCTTTAACAAATGTACAACTTTAGACTCACTTTTAAAATTTAAAGATAAAAGTTGATTTGTTTTTAATATAAATGTCTCTTACGATCCAGAAACAATTCCCTGCAATCAAAGCGGTAAGCCCATTTCTTTTACATTTTAGTCTGTTGAAATTAAATAGTAAAACCAGCGCTAATTAAAATATAATTACATTTGCACTTAAAGGTTCAGTGTGTAACAGGAGGATCTATTGGCAGAAGTGGAATGTAATATTCATGGTTATGTTTTCATTAGTGTATAACCACCTTTATATAGGAATTGCTGTGTTTTTGTTACCTTAGAACTGTTTTTTATCTTCAGACGTGGCAGTCTGCCTTCCACGAGGCTGCCATGTTGAACCCCCATATTTCTACAGTAGCCCAGAACAGACAAACCAAACACTGGCTGTAGATAGGGCCTTTCACGTCAAATACAGACGTGAGTGGTGTTCAGTTAGTTTTGCAACTTCACCGCCAGATGCCATTAAATCCTATGCACTGGTCCTTTAAAGGACCTTTAAACTCCCTTGTTTCACCACCACCACCCAGATACATCTAGAGCAGGTCTACATATATCTAGAGCCTCTGTAGCTTTGTCCCACGTACATATTTCTACTCCTTACATTTCTTCTTGGATGGGTACTAAATTCTGTTTCCATTAATAGATTCTTGCCAGATTAGATGTGTTTGTACCAAAACCATATGTGATCAATCTATCTATGATGTAAAGGCCTGCAGTAATGACCCCCCTTCAGGTAAGTAAAAGGTGAATGTGTAAATGTTGCTTCCAAACTTCTATCTCACTGTCATTCTTGGCTTTTTTGCTTATGGCAATGATATATAATATATTGCACATCATGCTGTGGACACTGGCTGTTATATACTACATTACAGAATATATGTTTTAGTGAATGGAAGTGCAAATTACTAAAATTCCCTAATTAAATAAATTAAGGAGTGAAATTTCTTGGGATAAAACTTTTGATGTTCTTCCCTTTCAGATTCAAAAAACAATGACAAGTACATCCTCAACCTAACAGCAACAGTCGACAGCTGTATTAACTGTAACAATCCAGTGAAAAAGCCTGAGGAGACACTTGAGCCAAGTGATTTAAAAGATCTCAATATAACACTTGAAATTAAAGAGGGAGAAGATGTCAGCCCTGCCCAAGCTGCGTAAGATGTCCTCCATGAATCTATTAAAGGCTAGTTAGAAATTTGGGGAAATATGTGCATGAGGTTAACGTTTTTGGTCTGTGGTCACTGGTGGATGAATGAAAAACTAAACTATGCTTATTTGCTTTCTTTCTGAGAGTGAGATGAGAAGATTAAAACCACTGTGAAACTTGAGCTAGGATCTTAATTTAGTATGAAGATTGTAAACAACTAGCGTTGTTTTGTCCAAAGTTAGAAAATCTGTCATCCAACCCCTCTAACACTTGCCAATGAACATGTTGTGTCTCTTTAGTTTGATCCGTACAAAAACAGAAATGCCCAGAAATCTCATGATTTTCAACGAGAAATAGTGACAGCACCAAATTCCCTTCACAAAACTTAACATTTATGTACGGATTAAGCTTGAATGTGTTCATTTATGAACTTCAGAGATGCTAACAGGCAGATTTTTTAACTTTGCATAGTGCCTTATGCTAAGCTAATAACCACCACGCTCCAGCTACATACTAAAAGGTCCAGTGTTTAACATTTAGGAGGATCTATTGGCAGAAATGGAACTTAATATGCATAAAAATCATTATGTTTTTGTTACCTTAGAATGAGCCTTTTATATCTGAAAATGCTACACCATGTTTCTACAGTAGCCCAGAATAGACAAACCAAACATCCTATAAGGTATTAATATTCTTCCATCTGTCAACAGTAAAGTCATGGGTAGCATGTCCAGCCTTGTCACTGTCCTCAACGTGTCTTCAGCTGAACTGAACCTGGGAGGAGGAGTTACGGGTATCTTAGTGAGAGAAACAGAGCCTGAGGACGTGGAGGAAGTCTCCTTTGCTTATTTGAATCCAAATGAGAGCATACATGTGGGTGCATTTCTCTTATTTGACCTTCATACATGGGCTTTATCAACAGAATAACAGTGAAATTGTCATTACAGACTTCAGAATAACTGTATGCTTTTGGATGTGATGATTATTACAGCCACCTGCTAACTTCAGAGTGATGAAATAAGTGGTCTATATAAACTTCAATGCCATGTCATCCAGCTATCCTGTCTCTCTTTAGGAAATCCTTTGATATTGTTTAACATTTTGGGAATACTGTTATTTGCTGGCCTTGCAGCCATGCCAGCAGCTCTGTGGGGCTGTAAGCACAGGAGTACTTTACTTTGCAGAAAGTGATATAATAGTGATGTTTCACACCTCAGTTTAGCGTGTTAGGATGCTAACATTTGCTAATAAGTACCCAGTACAGCTGTGGCTGATAGGGATATATAATATAAGTATTTGGTCATAAAAAGTAGTAGGCAAATTTATATTTTGACCTGATAATAGTGGTGGGAAAAAAGCCAAATGTCAACCTCATGCTAGAGCTAGAGGGAAAGTTAAAGGATCACTAAAGTCAGTAGGGTTCATCATCCGGGAAACGTGAATGTCCATCCAAAAATTCATGGCATCAAATAATTAGGCTACTGAGATATTCTAGTCCGGTCCAAAGTGGTGGACAGAGAGACTACCATTGTTAACCACAGAGTCACGTTAATGAAAACAACAATTTGTGGTTTTTAGGTTACTCTGTGGTTGCTCGCTGGAACAATGTCTTGAAAATCTACAACTCCAACTTCTTCTCTTCTCTCTGCTCTTCTCAAACCTGTTTATTCAATTTTTTAAAGTCATTTCCTAAATTCTAAGTAATTTCCAGGATTATAATTGCTTCAAAGTAAATAGTTTCACAATTCTTTTGACTTTAAAGCTGCACCTTAGATGATTTTGACAACACACTTGTTATGCTCTTTCCTGCAGATTTTAGACAGCAGGTATGGTCTGAACGCATTTTCAAGATCTGTTACTGTGACAAAAGAAGCTTTTACAAAATCTATCACTTCGAACATTAGTGTAACATTTGCCTCTGTTGTCCGATTCATCAATATGGCCAAGGTAAGAAAACGTATCTCAGTTTTACCTTCAATGATTCTCTGACATATTTGATCATGTTACTATTGTGTAGCTTTTCCATTTTTCCAGGATGAGATGAACAGCACTGTTTTGGGTAATGAGGTTCTAGGCATTGAAATGGGAACCGAGATCCGCAATCTCACAGACAAAATACTCATCAGTTTTAGAAATATGGAATACGTAAGTAAAACAAAAAAGAGCATCCTCAAATTAGTTTTATTTGTTAACCACCCAAGAGCACATGTTTAATGCAATTCTGTTGTTTTGTTTACAGGAAGGAATTCCATCTTGTTACTCATGGAATGGTGAAGGTATTTTTACCACTTTTTTCTCTCCAGAAATATCATGACTAAAATCGCTCAAATGTCCTTCTGAACCCTCCGGTTTTAGCTCTGCACTGTTTGCATGTTCCCGTCTTTTAGGGAGCCGACCAAACTGGACTAGTGACGGATGCCAGACATTATCAGATGGAGTGAACATTACATGCCAGTGTTCACATTTGACTTTTTTTGCTATCTTATTGGTGAGTTATACTTTTAAAAATATTTTCATGATATACATTCCCTGTAGAATACAGATGTTCTGTACGACCATGTTTGCTGATTGCACTACCTCCTTTTGAATTCCCCCCTCTGTAATGAACCCATCCTGATTACCAATGCCAGTTCCTATGACAAAGTGCTTAAAAGTATTTAATTTTTGCTCTTTGCAGACTCCTCTTAATGAAACCATTTCCAGTTCTGACCTGAACAGGCTCACCATTATCACCCAGGTTGGCTGTGGGTTGTCCATGTTCTTCCTTGGAACAGTCCTCTTCATGCATTGCCTTATGAGGTAAGGATAACAGAACTTTGTCTCTATAATTAGTTTCAGATTAAATAGTTATTTCCAAGAAACTTCTGAATTCACTGCCACATAGAATAAAGCGTTAGTTATTTTTTAAAAAAAAGGTTGAAACTCTGTCCCAGAATGTAAATGATCTTTTCACCCAGGGTTTTGAAGTCCCCAAATTTCCACAAAACATATCTCATGTAGAGATATGCTTATTTAAGTGATTCACCTGCTAAGTGTTTTTATTTTGTAGCCATATTGAGATCTTCTTTCCTATACAAAAAACAATTAGAGAGAAGTCTTGGTTTAGTCATAATTAGTAGAAAGAGTGAACAAATAAAAAGAGATGAAGGTAAGTGGTAAAAATCAGTTCTCAGTTACCCCCACGCTGAACATTTACATTCCAAATTACAGACACAAAGTTGCTGATGTCTTTATCCCGTATTTATAAAGTGAAAAACAAAAACAAGTGTCAAAGAGAGCAGTAGAATAAGACATTAAGGTTCTGCCATACAAGTAAGAAAAAAAACACAGTTTGTGTGATTATGAAAATAAGCCTGTTTTCCAGAATAGCAGAACACTGTGGTAGTCATCACAGCAGCAGCATTCAAATTATGGAAATGAGACTGTTAAACAGAAGCTTCATTGTGTGAGTGCTATGGAAATACATACAACGTACGTAATAAGTACAAATAAAACAACATCCCATCTCTCCCTCACCTCATCATTTATGGTCACATTTTTAAGGCCATTGTTGCACCTACCTTTCCAAAGAAGTTAAGAAGTGAAGCTAAATATACACATGGTTATGTAATATGTAAATATTACTTACATAACTCAAGTTTTGAATCGACTTTACGGCCAGACATAGCACTATATAGCTTTTCTAAACATAATATGATACTTACAGTATGTTCATCTCTCCTCACAGGAAGACGAAGGCCAGTAAAGCCACAAGGATTCTCATCAACCTTGTGTTAGCCATGTTCCTGCTGAACTTCAGTTTCCTGGTCAACAACCCTGTGGCAAAACTGAAGAGCTCTGTGGGTTGTAAAATCATGGCAGCTCTCATGCACTACTTCATGTTGGCTACGTTCACTTGGTTTGCTGCGCAGGCCTTCCACCTCTGCCTGCAGCTATACATGGGGGGCAAAATTGGCATCCGTCGCTACATACTCAAAGTCTCCATTACCAGTTGGGGTGAGTACACGTCATTATTTTCTGCTGTTTGACCTGACCATGGACATGACATTTGCAATTCAGTGTTTTTTTCCTTTGTCCGTTTCCAGTACTACCAAGTATAGTCGGGATTATCCTGCTCATCATAGGAAAATATGGTGAACAAGTTATCGAAACGAATGACTCTGAGGAAAAAGTGTCCATGTGAGTTAGCTAATAATCTTGATGTCTGAGGATTATATATTTAACAATCATACAACAGACCTATGTTTCCTTTTCTTTACCAGCCTGTTTTTCTGTTCCAAGGTGCTGGATAACCGACAGTGACACCCACTACGCTGTCAACATAGGCTACTATGTGTTGGTCTTCATCTTCACCTTAACTATCTTCACCATCATACTGTCCTGGCTCTTCTGTCTCAAGAGAACCAGCGTAGGCAACATGCAAAGTGGCAAAAGTGGCAAAAGTGGAAAAAGTGGCAGAAGTATTGTAACCATCCTGGGACTGTGTTGCATGCTGGGTCTCACATGGGGTTTTGCCTTCTTCGCCCACGGCGTCCTCCAGATCCCGGCCTACTACATTTTCACAGTTTTCAATTCTTTCCAAGGTATCAGCCTGGATGTGATCCATTAATTTTGAATAATAATGTTTTTAGTTTATTGCTTTGTTAATCCTGCTTTTAGACTCACGGTTCATGTAGGTAGGTTTTTTTACTGCTTTACTAACAGCTTAAGTATCCTACATGTCAGCGTCCTGTTGCTTGCTCTCCACACACAGTCTGTAGATGCGGGCGAGCATCATCCTAGGCATCTGTCAGAAGTGCCATAAACTAAACTGAACGCTGAAAATGTGTCATATTTAGAATAACGTTACTATCTGTTACTAGCTTTGGCTAACACATGGAGTTATATTTTGACATTGAAAGACATTCTTGTATTATTCCCCCATTAACTTCAATAAAACCTGAAAGGCAAGCATATTAAACAAATGGATAACCTAAGAACTACAGAAGCACCCAGTGTTTTGGAAGAGATAAGCCGAAAAATAATTTCATAGGCTCAGTTTATCTTTATGAGTGACCATCTTTTTTGCTTGGCAGGTTTCTTCCTGTTCATCTACTACTACAACACCAGCCACGTGGGAGAGATAGATGTTGGCCAAAGTAATTCCAGCAGCAGCGTCAGCACTCTTAAAACCAGCCTGGACAGCACTAGGAACCCCTATGAAAACATGCCAGCCAAAAAATAAAACTTGGGAGACGAATGGGATGGGATGCAGAGACAGTGGTGGAATTTATTCGTTGATTTATATTTTGTATTAACTATCTAAATCTGCAAACTAGTAACTAATGTTGTCAACTAAATGTACTTAGTTAAATTCCACCACAGTGAAGAAGTCACAATCAGCTTTAAATAGACTACACGCAATTACAAAGAATTAACTGTAAAGTCTACTGATGTATAGCATTGTCATGGGCACCTGTCATTACATATTGTTGGTTATTAGTGTATATGAAATTTGCTTAAATACTACATGTTTCTGTTTATCTTTGGGATAGGACTTGGTTTGTACAATCTTTACTAGGGTGCATGATTCATGCTGTTAAGTTTTGACTCTGAGACTTATTTTTAATGCAACAGTGAACTGAAATTGAATTGAAAACAGCAAAATATCCTGAAGCTTTTTAATGTTTCTGTATTGAGCATTTACTTTTTAAACTCAACTTCCAAGACTGATATTTAAATCTTTGACATATATACCAAACATCCTCAACAGTGGACAATACTAATAATATAAAGTTTCCTTATGGATTTGTGTAAATGTAAACGAGGTGGCAAAAAGAACTTGAGTAAGAGAAACACAGGGAAATGGGAATCCTTTATTCAGTTTCAGTCACACCAACATTAAAACACATATTATGCATTAATATACAAGTTTATTTTTTACTCATTTTGAATTGGGAAATTATTATACACTTTTATAACAAGAGAGCTTCTGCTTCCTTGAGAGCTTTTTCCATTTCAGCAGCCTCCAGGGAAAAGTTCTCCCTCTCCTGCATCATATGTTCCCGCGCTTTAGCGAGTTCTGTCATCGTTGTTTGGATATCCTAAAAGTGTATAAAATGAGGAACATTGAAAATACACTCCAAACATCCTTTAAATCGACTACAATAAATAGCAATTGGTCCATACGGGTTTCAACGAGTTTGACTCACCTCTAGCTGAGCACGTTGCTGTGACGCGATGTCTCCAAACGCTTTTAATTCATGTAGAAGGTCTGTGGAGACGCCCTGAAACAGATATAAATGAAAGTTGTGTTTGCTAGATGGCACTGCCTATGATAGCCAAAAGCCTGTAACCCTTTATGTGTACAAATATATATAGTTTTTTATTAAGCATGTTTCTAGTGTAATCTCCTATCAACCTATGTTCTGTTTTTGTAGTGTATTTGTGTGGGTTTGCTTTAAAGTTAATTAAAGCATATGACAAATAATACATGACTGCACATATATCATCAAGTTCACAAATAAGACATTTATATATTATATATATATATATATATATATATATATACACACACATATATATATACCATGACTTCCTTTCTTTGATCTTCATTTTGTCGTGCAGCTTCTCCAACCCTTTCTCCTAAAACTAACAATCAAAAGGAGATCTTATGTTATTTTCTATCAAGCAACAACAGACATTAAGCTGACAAAAACACATTTGGAAAATGGTCGGCACATATTCACCTGGGTCTATTTTGGCTGCAACGAGGAGTACATGACAGTCCTTTAGGTTTTTCTGTACCCCTGCATTCTCCTTTTCAAGGTCACTGAACTCCAGCTCCAACTCAGTTACTCTTTGCTGCAATATAACAAGAACTTTAGCAAAGCACATAGATAGATTGTAACAGCACAAGATGAAAAACCAAAGAAATAAATACTGTAAAATTACAGCTGACCACAAATAAGTGACACACTTTCTACTGGGAGCCTGACCAATGTATTACACAAAATAAAACTTGAGTATAAATAAAAGTACTTAGTTATGTTACAGTCCAATCCTGCTTTTCTGCACCTGTGTGTCTGTGAGTTTTTTCAGCAGCTCCTCATTGGTAGCCATCAAGTGCTGATTTTGCTCCTTGAGCTCTGCCTGTTGCCCATACCTAGTGGAGACCCTATGGAAAGGGCAACATAAAGCGGTTAAAACAAGGCTGAACCCCCTTGAATGTTCAGGATGTGCAATATAATGTATGACTCACCCCTTGTGAACTTTCGGAGCAACATTTTTTCTGGAAGAAAAAAGTGACATATTTTGAATTCAATCGCTGTGAACATGAACTGTTCGGATTTTTTTTTTACCGAGGTATCAAATTGGGTAACAGGAATTATGGAATTTCACTTGTATTGGTATTGATTACTACATTTCTGGTATTCTGAAATCCCTGTATTTCATTCTAGTTCAAGGCTTTTTTCAAGACTAAAATGTTTGCTTTGTAACTTCCTGACAGCAGCATTTTGTCTACCTGTGGCAGAGGAGGTCTGAGGTCATCTATATTATGAGTGCCACTATGGGTCTGGGTCATGACTATTAAGTAGTGACCCAGACGGGTGTCACATGCCACCTATGCAGGTTACAGGTAATGCCACAGTTAAATGGATTTATTTAAGTGGTGACATGTACAACTTTTACCTTTAATATTGTTGATTAGCAGTTTCTTACCTTGGTACGTTTTCTTTTTGAGATTTAAGGATGCCATCTGATTTTCCTGTTCCAGATACAGTTGCTGTGTCTTTGGATTCAGGTTTGTGACCGGTTTTCTTCGTTTCTGCAGGTAACTGTACACCTGGAAAACATAAAAGATTGTTAACATCAGGTTTGTTTGGCTTCATAAAACTAAAATACAGATTAATTCAATCAACAACAAAGTGCAGAAATAGCTAATTATGCTCACCTCTTGGGATTTTTGAAGACATTGCTCTGTCTGCAGTAAATATAATGCCAAACACAGGAACCTGTATGAAAACATAATCTGATTAACCCGATTTGTCTATCCTGGACATATTCACTCAATCAGCTGTTTACCTAGAATTCAACTAAGTTATCTCTCATTCAAAAGCTAAATCATGGATTATCATATTACTATACATATTTCCTACAACGCAGAACATAAAAACGGGCACATTTTGAATGGAGTTTGGTGCGATTTCCCAAATACAACATACCGAACGTCTAGTTAGATTAGTTGAAGTTAAGCGTTCAACATAACTAAAACATACTAATATGTGTGACATGGTTCAATAATAAAACACCACGGCCTACCTTTATGGATACGTTAAACAGGAGATTTGTCAACAGTCAAAACTGAGCCGCACGAATTCAAAAACGTCCCGCCCTCTACGGTCAATTCCGGTTTGTCGGCGTCATTTCCTGCATCGATAACGCTTTTTTTCGCTATTTCTGGTCGTCAGGAGGTTTATTTTTCTTAATTAATTAAGGATATGTGTTTTTTGTTTTGTTTTTTTTACGAACACTCTTTAACTTTACTGCTTTGACCGAAATAACCGAAAGAAAGGGAGAAAGTAGAAACTAGAGTGCTCTGCGCATGCGTGTAGGCGGCTAAATTCAAACCTCAAGACGTTAGCGTCGAGGCTCGTTGACGTTGGGTTCCCACATCGATCTAAGCAAAAAAAAAAATAAATAAAAAAAGGCGACATGAAAACAATTTTAAATTAGTTTACCAGTAATAACACAAACCGTGGCCGTTGTAAAACCAGAGGAACTCATAGCAACTACAAGGTATGCGCTGTAATATCTTCTTTTCTTGTACATAGTTGTGAATGGTCCGCCAGCACGAACGTTAACAGTTGACTGAATAAGTGCTCTTGAATACAATGTTTGTATCCTTGCCAGCGAGGTCAGTAATCATCCGTTTGTTTCATGCAATGCAATCATTTTGGAAGAGTGTGTTTTGCGAATGAATATGTATTAGTGTTTGTTGACAAAAGGGGAAAATCCATGTCAAGCTAAAGTCGCCCTTTATAGCTAACTTTACCGTATTACCCCGTATACGCGATCAAGTTAAAAACCTAAAAACCATGTCACTTGTACTCATCCAGTCCCATAATGTCCCCAATGCCCCTGAGGCTCAATAATGGTACCTTCTTAACATAGAGATTGAATGACGGACACTCTGTAGTTTACTTCCATGCCATGGAGAGGTCATTTCATTTTTCACATTTGTCATTTCACAAGCTTATCATGGCTACTGAAGAGCAGTCTTTGTCAACCTGCTTTACTGTCCTGTAATATCTTTGGTCATTAATGTATTGATCTAGCTAAAGATGGCCATTCGTGTTGTATGCCAATGAAAAGTCATGAAATATCAACTTAAATGTAATTGATTTAATGTATAAAGCACTTTTTTATTTGTTCACAGGTTGAAAATGGAGCCTCTGGATCCTTTTAAGAATGAGTGAGTGAAAATTATGTTATTGAGAGAAAGCAGCCAACAGTGTATACATTACATTACCTTAAGGCCATGTGGCATTAACATGAACTTGTGATATGACTGCATTTACATTGTTTATAATAATGAACACCCCACATGCACATAAGCCAGAGCTGAATACAGTGTTTCATGTTTTGTGTTACAGTGAAGGCAGTGGATTCTCCAAGCGCCGCATTTCTTCGGTCAGTCCTACAAATACTTTTATGGACAAAGTGTATATACTTTTTTACTTTGTTTTAAACACTTAATTTGCCTGAACTATATTGTCTGCAATTTATTATGTTATTGCTTTTTATCAGATTTTAAAAGCACCGCGGAAATCAATCAGAATCCCTGACCCTGAGCAACAGGAACATACGGTAAATTGATTGCTTAGGTTTAAGATTAAGACTGTAATTATATGTAAAATTGGAGATTTAAATTGTAATTAAAGTGGTACTACAACCAATATATATATTGGTATATAAAATATATATTTGTAACTATCAATATTACTCCGAACAAGGACAAAATTGAGTGGTAATAACTTTGTTTATGATTTATATGTTACCTTATAAATTGTTCTTATTGTCACTAAGGTGGAGTGTGCCAAACCAGTGGAAAAGAGGAATTCAAGAAGAGTCAGTTTTGCCCCTGCAAATGATGTTCTCCTGTTCTCAAAGTGAGATACTAGAAGAAAAATTCAGGCTTAATTTCCCACAAGAACACTGACATTTCAATCTAATCAGTACTTTATCTTTACAGGGATGTAAAAAATGCCTCTCCTGCCCGAAGTCCTTTGCAAGACTTATTGACAAGTAAGTATGTAATGCAGTATGTGATGTTTTTATTCTTATTTTTTTTATTTAAAGCAGCCTAATAACATCTGTCCTCTGTTATTCCGCAGCCGCAGCAGCCACACAAAATAGGTACGGTGACTTGATCCTTTCTAGTTCTACACATTCAGCTGTATTTCAGATGATAATATTGTTAATAATAGTCTCACAAAACCAGGTACATTTCTCTGTCTTAACAACAGTAAAGTATTGTGTAGTACAAAGTATTGTTTTTTTTTTTTTTTTTTCATAAGGGTCCAAGTGGCGGTCACTGAAGATGGAATTCAACAAATTGCAGGTAGGGATATTAGGTTTTCACCTTCAAACAACTATTACCAAGTGCTCACATTATCTGTTACAGTGTAAAATCACTCTCACTAAATTCTTAAAGTCTTCAAATTCAATTTAGGAATGGAAACCCTTCTGAGTGCTCCTCTACACACTTCTCAACAAAGGGATAAGGTCAGCTTGAAGTCACTTTGTTGTTCCATCAATGCTAGTTTTCTTTACCACTGTCACAGTCACAAAATGGTTAAATTTGCTTTGCATAATTATATCCAATATATTATTATAACTCTTCATAAAAATGTTTATCAGACGTTTTCTGTTAATTAACATAAACCTACTTATCTTCACCAGGTCAACCTTGATACTCGGGATGACTTTGGGGAACGAACAGTGATGTTTTCTACGGATGATGCATTCATGGACATGACCCACTGTCACACTATAAACATTGGCAATGATGCAGATTTACTTGCAGATATTTCCCTCCAAAACCATGACATTTTACCCACTAGCAGAGAGAAAACTGTGATGTTCACTGCAGATGATGGATCCATGGATATGACCTTAAGTCACACTGTGAACATGACAAACATGTCAGTGCTACTAACCACTAGCAGAAACATGGATTTAAGTGCAGAGAAGAGAAACACACCCTCCATGAGGCTTCCTGCTGGAGCATCCTCTGAAGAGACAAGTGGCTCTCTGGCCCAGATTAAAACGCACATGGCTGATGTGGATAAAGAAAATCAGGCACCAACCTCTCTTTCAGCTGTGATGGCGAAGTCACTAAATACATCCAGGATGATTGGTGAATCATCTTATCGAAGTGCGCTCTATCCAAAGGATGATGTAAGCATGGATATGACTGAAGCTCTGACAGGCCGCATTCAGGGTTTTACTGACGATGACGATCCCTTTCAGTGTCTTTTTCCCACACAAGAAATGTACTCCCACCTTGACAACAGAGTGTCACAGACAGCAGAGAAGACCAAACCACAACAGAGCAGTAAAATGCTGGCATCATTCAACCCTAAAGGTAGTCTTTTTTAGTTTTTATTAATTAATAGAACACTAATGTATTTCTTGCTTTGGCTTATTGTGGTATCTTGTAGGGCTGCACAATATGGTATTGACATTGATAATTTTTACATAAAAATGATCAAGATGTGATATTTATTTGGTTGTGTACCAAACAAACATGTTTACATCTGGAGAACAAGATTTGTAGGCAAGGACATCTTTGGATATTGCACTAGGCCATGTTGCAGTTTGGATAATATTTTGATTAATTGTGCAGCCCTAGCATCTTGTGTGTTTTGGGGATGCTGAGATTATTCCAAAACCTATGCTTAAATTAAAGTTGAAATAGAATTGTTATTACATTTCAATTTCCAAATATAGATATGACCTCCTTGAAGAACACGTCTCTTCATGATTCTCATCAAAGACAAAACGTGAGTACTTTTACTTTGCTTTTAGAATGAATTTGTGAAATTATCTTTCATAATGTACTGCTGTAATGTAATGTACTCACATTAACTGAAACTAAAAGCTACATGGAAAATTTACAGGCAATAGTAGTACACATACGGTACTCACAACTAGTGTTGTACTTGAATTAAAATTGTATTATTGTCTGAGCAAAGTGATGTGATTAGTAGCCGCAAAGTCAGAAAAGTATAGTATACGTAACAGCGATTTGCCAGTGAGTATGGGATAACATGCTGTTTTTTCTTCTTCAGGTCAACCTTCACACAAAAGATGAATGCAGAGAGAAAATTATAATCTTCACTGCTGGTGATGAGTTCATGGATGTGACTCAGAGCCACACTGTAAACATTGCCAGTGGTTCATTAGCTCCACCAAACCAAAATTGCTCTCTTGGAAAAATGGACAATGCTTCATCTCTGGAGGAGAGAAAACAAAAGATTTGTGGTCCACCTGGCTCATCAGCAAATGGTGTGGATCTAGGATTTAAAAACTTCCTTGCAAATCTCTATGAAAAAAGTGCCCCCAGTGGTAGTTCGGTGATTGCCAGAAAGGAACCTCCTACTGCAGCTGCATCCTCTAAGGAAACCGTCACAAACAGCTCCCTGTCCCAGCTTAAAACCGATGGTACTAAAGAAAATCGGCCACTAAATACAACCAGGAGCTTTGGAGAATCATTTAATGGAGGTGCAATCAGTACTGAAAATGACGTGAGCATGGATATGACAGAAGCAGTCCAAACTACAGCACTCACTGCCTCAGATGATCCTTTTCAGTTTCTGTTTCCAACACAAGACATGTACCCTCACCGCGAAAGTCTGAAGAAACCAGAGAGGACTTCAGGACGGAAGAGTGCAGGTATGGAAAGCACAAACATTTGTCACTCAAAAGGTTGACCAATGTCCAAATAATAATAAATGCAACATTTGAAAAAATATATATATATTTTTGGTAATGTCAATGATGTATGAATTTAAAAACATTGTATCACATGTTTGGCACTAAAGACAATGTCAGAATTAATTCCACTTCCATTTTTTATTCCCCATCTCCACATTAGGTATGGAAACCTCACTGAAGCCATCTATAAAGACAAAGGTGCAAAGACATCAGGTGAGCTTAAAAATACACTAATTTATACTTGTACAGTTGTTAAGTATTTATTAATTGCAGAATGAATTAAAACACAGCCTTCTAGCACTAAAATGACATTACATTTTTAGAGCTATATTTGGTCAGTGCTGTGTTTTATATATTGATTCACATGAAAGAGCATTTGTCAAGTTGGGCAGAATCATAATGATTTTACACTGTGTATTTCTTTCTTTCTGAGAATGGAAAAATACTTTTTTTATAGTGGCCCTAATATAGTAAAATCAATTAATGAATTAATAAGTAATGCTAATTTAAAATGTCATTGCAAGATTGATGTTTTGTGACTACAATGATGTGATTGTTTTTGTTTTTTTCTTCCACAGGTCAACTTTGATGCTGAAGATGACTGCAGAGAGAAAACAGTGAGGTTCACTGCTGACGATGGCTGTATGGATGTGACAAGAAGTCAGACTGTAAACATTGTCAGTCATTTAGGACTGCAGTCGCACCAAAATGTGGGGTTTTTACCTGCTTGCGGGGAGAAGACCGTGAGGTTCACTGCAAGTGATGCAGCAATGGATGTGACGCAAAGTCACACTGTAAACATTGCCACTGATTTCAACCCACAGTCGCACCAAAATGTGGACTTTTTACCTCCTTGTGGAGAGAAGACCGTGAGGTTCACTGCAAGTGATGCAGCAATGGATGTGACACAAAGTCACACTGTAAACATTGCCACTAATTTTGACCCACAGTCGCATCAAGATGTGGACTTTTTGCCTACATTCGGAGAGAAGACTGTAAGGTTCACTGCAAATGATGCAGCAATGGATGTGACAAGAAGTCAGACTGTAAACATTGTCAGTGATTTAGGACTGCAGTCTAACCCAAATTTGGACTTTGTACCTACATGTGGAGAGAAGACTGTGAGGTTCACTGCAAATGATGCAGCAATGGATGTGACAAGAAGTCAGACTGTAAACATTGCCACTAATTTTGACCCACAGTCGCATCAAGATGTGGACTTTTTGCCTACATTCGGAGAGAAGACTGTAAGGTTCACTGCAAATGATGCAGCAATGGATGTGACAAGAAGTCAGACTGTAAACATTGTCAGTGATTTAGGACTGCAGTCTAACCCAAATTTGGATTTTGTATCTACATGTGGAGAGAAGACTGTGAGGTTCACTGCAAATGATGCAGCAATGGATGTGACAAGAAGTCAGACTGTAAACATTGCCACAAATTTTGACCTACAGTCGCACCAAAATGTGGACTTTTTACCTACATGTGAAGAGAAGACAGAGAAGACGGTGAGATTCACTGCAAAAGATGCAGCCATGGATGTGACAAGAAGTCAGACTGTAAACATTGTCAGTGATTTTGAACTGCCTTCACACCGGAATGTGGACTTCTTACCTTCTTGCAGAGAGAAGACGATGAGGTTCATGGCAAATGATGCAGCCATGAATGTGACACAAAGTAACACTGCAAACGTTGCCAGCAATTCACTTTCATATTCAGGTCAAAATGTGGACTTTCCTTTATCTGCAAAGAAGAGAGAAAGTGAGGCATGTCGTCCACATAAAAATCGACCTTCATCAACACACACTTTGGACCCAGGGTTTAAAAACTCCCTGTCTAGAACGAGTGGCCTATGGGCTAAGCCTGTGATGACTGAAGCTGCTTCATCGTCCCCTCAAGAAACGGTAGATGCAAATGAATTCCTGAACCCACTTAAAACGCAGAAGCCTGAGGTTGATACTGCAAAGCAAGCTCCAGGTTTTGTTTCAGCTCTCATGGAGAATCCAGTAAATCAAACCATGGCAGACTATGCAGAGGACGATGTAAGCATGGATATGACTGAAGCTCAGACAGGCCACATTTTGAGACAAACGTCTATAGATGAGCCACTTCAGTGCCCTGATTCTGACCATTTGAATAAAACAGAGGGGACTTCACAACAGGGCAATGGAGCACTAGGATCGTCCAGCCCTGAGTGTGTGAAAATCACAAACCGTCCTAATCTTCTTGACTCAAATGAAACTGATAACAGGAAGGAACCCAAACCAAGACATCAAGCTTGTTCACCCAGTGCTGTTAACGATGTTGATACAGCACCTTCAAGGAAGTCTAGACGAATGAGTTTAGCTGATCTTCATTCAAAAGTAAGGCGTTTGAGCCACATGATAAATACAGCTCCTGATGCTGATGCCCTGGACAGCTGCACAACACCTTTGCCTCAACTGGAACACGACATGGACAAAAACTCAAAAGACAGAACCAAATCTCTTCCTGTAGTGGAGCCTGAACTTGAAATGGGTTTGGTGAACACTCAAGAAAACACACACGCACAATGTCTTATGGAAGGAGAAGAACCCTCTCCTACTACTACTACTACTACAATTCCTTTCAACTTGAAAACCAAACAACTTATGTCAAGACTCTCAGTGGGAGGCTTTAAGGCCAAACTCCCCCAACGAAGCAAACCCGATGAGCCAAAAAAGGTGAATTCAGTGGGAGAACACACAAGGACACTCACTGTGAATGTTACTAATCAACTGACTAACTTTGACAATGATGTGAGTGACATTTACGATGAAGAGCTTGGTAGCTGTGAAGATATGTCAGAAATGCTGGACACAAGGAGTCCTCAGAAAGCCACTGGAAAAGTGAATCCTTCCCGAGAGTTCAACGTGGATGGGCCTTTAGAGGATGATGTGTTTGAACAGGACTTTATTAGTCCTCTCCATGTAAAGAAGAGACCTTTGCCAGTAGATGAAAATAATATGGAGGATGAGAAGAGAATAAAAGCCTCCACTGAGACAGCTACCAACTTTGAAATGGTAAGTCAAATTAAGAGTACTGTAAATTCTCAAATCATGCCTGGGGTCATTTTTTACCTTAAATTATATAAGAGACGTGCCTTAAATTTGACTTTCCCATTAGTACAAAGACATAGTCATGTCATACTCACCACTCTGCTTCCGAGTTATTCTTCTCTAACTTTCATTTGCTTATTATTCCTGATAGTTTTCATTTTGATTGTGGTTAAGTTTGCTGTTTGCCAAATGCTGTTGTTTCTAGGAATGTAAACATGTATCGTGAGACAGTTAAACCGTACTACAAATATGTGAGAACTCAAATCGATGAGATGAAAAATGAATCGTGATATTAGTTGTGGTATCAAGGCACGAAGACATCAGTTTCACTTAAAGGAAATATGCATTGTTTTGCACAGTTTATACCCTATCTCAGAAATAAAAAAAAGATTCTATATTTGGTGACTTTCAAAGTCTTCCAGTGACCTTCAAGTTTAATTAGTGTTGGGTGGTATGACCAAAACTTTGTATCACAATAACAAAGTGGGCTTTTATATTGGTTTATAGTGGCTTATTCTACTGTCAGGAGTTCATAGAATGTACAAAAACATATTTTAATATCACCATGTACAGGCTTTGATTACTGTAGGGTTGTGTAGTGGCCTGGATGTTGGTATATAAAAACAGCAAATTAAAACCAGTATGAATTAATCTGGTAGAGAGGTAATTAACCTAATAATTGTGATTAATTAACTCCTCTCTTAATATAATATCGGCTTTGATTTGAGAAATTAAGGTAGATCATATTACAGTTTATTGTTGTGATGTTTGTGTTTTCCTTTTTTTAAAGCTACTTTTGTTTTTCTATTTTCCCCATTCACAGGGATTACAGTCTGATCTTGTAGAGTGTGACAGTAACATTACTACAGCTCCATGCATCACTACACAGACGACAGATTACTGCAATAGCAGTCACACAGCCAGCATCAAATGTGAAGCTACATTTGAATCATGTAAGTTGTTATAGCTTCACAGTGTAGTTGAGTATCATTAAGATCCTTATTGTCCTTTCCTAGATTCTGAATACATTTTTATTTAATTTTTTCAGCTTTCAAACACAGCCTGTTTGAATCCCAGCTTGAAGACTACGCCTGTGACATGCAGAGGGTATATTACTGACATTGTTTATAAATGTATATTTTTAATATTATTATTTTCATGTCAGTTATTTATTCAATGTTTTTGATTACAGAAACTCAATGATGGCACCATCACAGTGTTAGAGTTCTTTAAACTCTTCAACATAGACTTTGTCATCCATAATCCTCGGCAAAGTGTCCTTCCTGGCAGAGTAGGTTGATCTTCATTAATATTAAAGAAATAGAGAGAAAGACATCAGCCAGATGTGGTAATGTGACTTTTTGTTTTGTTTTTGCAGCTTTTGTCAGACACAGAACGCACACCGATAGATTTACTGAAAGACAGGCTTATCAACCGTCCTAAACAGACGGTGTATGAGACAGACGTCTTGAACCTTACAGAGAAGGTGGAGGGGTATGTATGCTCAAGATTGTATTACACATTTAGGACTAATATTAAAGTATATATATATATATATATATATATATATATATATATATATAGATATATATATATATATATAGATATGTTTGTCACATTTAACCATATTACTGTAGTTTTTTCCTCCATGAGAGGAGTAAATCAACAATGATTGACAGCTTTGTAATGTGCAGAGCAGTGTAAATTGTGAGAAGAAGTTTAAAATATGTGTTTTCTGAAAATTCCAATATTACAACTGAAGCTCAAAGACAGGCCTATTTTCTTCTCTTCTTAGGCTGAAGGAGCGAATGCGAGATCTAGACAAACCACTGAAGACTGTCAATAGACCTTTGTGGGAAGAAATGAAAGACTCTTCAGAGAAAGAGGTATTAAAGTTCAACTTGGATTACTTTTCAAACTGCATTTCCCTCTTTGTTACCAAGATGACTGTGATTTATGTGACATGTTTGCAGTATGAACTCTTAACAGACCCACAAATAATTTACAGTTAAGTGTAATTTTATGAAAGGACCAGTGTATAGGATTTAGTGGCATCTAGTGTTAAAGTTGCAAATTGCAACCATTTGAATACAGCTCAGCCTTGCAACCATATAGGAGAAACTATAGTGGTACAAAAAACATGAAAGGCCCTATCTAGAGTCAGTGTTTGGTTTTGTCCATTCTGGGCTACTCTATTAACATGGCAGACTGTAGAAGAGGACCCGCTCCCTCTGTAGACAATAACTCAACACAATTGTTCCTATTTTTAGGTGATTATACACTAATGAAAACATACCTATAAATAGTATATTCCATTTCTGCAAATAGATCCTCCTAAATGTTACACACTGGACCTTTTTAAAAGGGTGCATGAATTTTTGGGGGAGGATTTAGCTGATGCAGAAGGAAGAGTATCATTTTGGCATGTGCTCTTATTCTCAGGCCTCACTGTGTTTGTTTGAATCCACAGCTTAAATCTTTTGGTGCAAAACTAAAAGAGAGAAACAACTTGTTCAGAAAGATGAGCAAAGTTCAGTCACATGAAATGAAGGAGGTGTTGTACTCAAACCTTGTGCGGGCTAATCTGGTAAGAGCCTTCACACAGAAATACTCGATTACAACATTTGGGATATTCTGAGAATATTAAAGGTCATTGACATTTTTCATCTCTTCAGGAGGAGCAACAGAGGTTGAGAGGAACGATTGAGGAAGCAGACGTGATGATAAAAAGTTTGGACGACTGTATTGGTGAATTAGAAACAGGTATGGCTCCTGTGGAAAAATCAGTTATGGATGTCCAGTTTACAATGCCACCTTCTCTGTATGAATAAACTAATGAGTCAGATACAAGGAACCCGGCTATAACACAATCTCTGTTTTTTCTTCCTTTAGAACTGGCTGCAGTTGAAGAAAAAGGCTTTGAAAACACACCCAGTCTGAAATCGCGTCAGGAAGGTAACTTATAATACCACTTCATTATTTTAGTTGTTTATTTTGATGTAATTTATTTGAATAAGTTATTGAATATTTTATTCATTTATTCTACAGAAATGCAGAAAGTCACTGAGGCTTTGGCGGATAATGACCGGTGAGTTGAAAATATTATTGGATTGGATTGTCTTTATTTGGTTTGCAGTAGTCAACACAACCAATGTGCAACCAAAAATAACCAATACACAACCAATAAAAAACATATACATATCATAAACATACAGTAGATGTCATAATAAGTTGCAATGAGCTATAAAAGTACTAAGGTCATACATTAATATGTTAGTTCATATGTTTTTCATGTTATGGTTTAAACATAGAATGATTCCTTTTTGTTTCTTATTCTTTTCTTTGTTCCTGCTGCAGACAAATATCCGAACTGGAGATGCAGAAGAAGCAGAATTCAAATAAACTCAACAGACTCAAAGCTGAGACGAGGAACCTTGAGAGCCACATCACCGCACTGCAAATGTCAGTTTCTGGTTTTAATTGGTTTTCAGATCTTTCAAGTCTTGCTTGCCAACATGAAGGACCTCATTTACAAAAAGCTGCTTATGCTGAACTTTGTCCACTTTCATTTTACTATTTTGGAAACTGTTCCTCTCCCCAGCTGTCAGTAAATGAGGGCCATTAGCTTTTATAAAAAAAAATAATTTTTGAAAATAGACAAAGATATTAAGCTTTTTGTATGTCTTTCCGCAGGGTCAATGAATGGAAGTTGGGAGAGAAGAGAGACAACTCCACGGTCTACACTTTTCTCCATGACACCTTGCATCTACAGTTGGTGTTTGAAAAAAATGGTAAGATTGTTATTCTGTATGGTGGACAAGCATTCATATTATTCCGTACTGTTATATTTTTTAATTAAGATGTGTATCCACTTGTACAGGCTGAAAATCTAAACCATGCTCCACTTTTAGCCACAGTAATGTCAGAACCAAAACAGTTGTTTAACAGCCAAACTATGCACATACTTGTTGTCTTTGAACTGGGCAGACATTGGGGGAAAGTGTGTTTGCAGACTTATGCTTCTGAAAACACTGATTTGTGATTCAAGTTCTTTTCTTTTTTTGTTTTTGAAGGAAATGATGCTGGTAATCAGTCGGAGAGGAAAATATCACACATCACATTCAAACAACAATTTGATGGTAAGATAAAAACAAAAAAAATGATGATTGTTAATTTTCTGCAGTAGAGCTGTACAGAATATGTGTTAAGCATAATCTGTGGATTAACGTTGGTTCGAATCTTGACTCATGTCTGTTTTTATCATCTGCTCACCTGTCTAACTAACCTCCATGTAAAATGAATATTACGTCACTATCTGGTAGTTTCTCAGTACCTGTGAATTATTTATATATTTAATATATTTATTATTATTATACATTCTTGTTATTGGTAACTTGTAAAAAAAAAAAGAACTACTTTACATATATTTTTCTAACTAGATGAGAAGTCTCAGGGCCATGCGTGCCTTGTTCACAAACTACTCTCTCAGTACATTGAGGGAGAAGCTGCCTGGGTAGAGAAGTATCCAACCAGCAGACATGTTCCAAAGGTAGGTGTGATTTGTTTTGTTGATCGATGGATTCAGCTGCACGTTGTACTCATCTTGTTTTTGGTCAGACTTGTTAAACTTAATCAGCTACACTGAAGCTTTCAACTGAGGTCTCCTCTTGTATGCAGCTGCTCCATGACGTGGGCCTGGTGGTGAGTCGCTGTCGTCTGCTAGGAGAGGAGCTGCGTCTGCTGAAAATGTGGGGGGGTCTAAGGCTCGACATTCTCAACATCAGCTGTGTGGACACTCAGTAAGAACTCTTCCTAACAAAAGATCTAGTTAAAGATTAGCTAATATATAATAATTAGCACAACAAAATTTTTTTTGTATCATTAATTTTGCTTTTATTAAGGATGAGGATTCAAAAATGCAGGATTGACAGACACATCTTGATTTAAAGCACCAAGACACAGTGTCACTTTTCCCCAAATATCCTTTCTTATCTTTCTTTCTCCAGAGTGCACATTGTTTTCAGCAGTCTTAAAAAAATGTCCAAGTTTGAGGTGATCTTCTCTGTCAGTGTGACCAACCACCTCTGTGTCCTTCAAGTGCAGAGCTTCAGAAACCTGATCGGAACCACAACGTAAGTTTGACTCAAATATAAATGTAGGACTTTTTAAAATAAGTGAGGCAGTGCTTTCTTGGCTTCTGGGTGTATGAAGAAAAACCTTAAAACAGTATTTGACATTTTCATGTATTTGCAGGATCCAACAGATTGAAGATATTGTGGCATCGTTCAGCCCAGCCAAGAACCTCTTGACGAAGATTGTCAGAAAGCTTCATGATAATCTACTCTGTTGAGACCTATAGAGGACTAATGAAACTCTTTTGTACATTATAAATGTTGAAAAATTAAACAATTTAAAATCTATTAGCTTTCAAAAAATGAATATAGTGTACAGGTCCCAGTCTGTTTTCTCTTCCGCAGTGCACATTAAGTGGTGGTTTTTCATTATAGCTTATGTCCTCATAATGCAGCTGCATCTGTTGATATTTTGCATTTTGTTAGAAAAACTTTACAACATAGTACATAGAAAGGGACGATGTAAACGTTCAAATTGCTCAAATACAGGAAATCAGAAAAGTTTCAACTTGCTCTAGTTTGTTCTTGACTAAGGACTAAGAAGTGGAATAGTTATGTCACAGCTACATAGCCAATTTGAGGTTATTCAAGTCATTCTCAGTTGTCTTAGCTATGCCAAAATTTGGTTTAATTTATATTTTGTCATGGATCATGTGAAACATTTAAAATATTAGATCTGGTTGGTGTGGATAGCAGACAGTGCTTCTTCTTGCTTTTTCTGTGCTGTTTTCAGAGTTGCCTCCAGATGGAGGACAAGGACTGACTTTACAGTACTTAAAATGGGCCTTGATATATGTATATTAGATCCTGTGTTTGAGACAAGACTCAACAAAAGGTTGTATATCTGTCTTATTTTGTTGCAGCTTTGTGCAGTACAGAACATATGTAAATATATTTCATTGTGTTTTGTTCATAATGCTATTACCACAGCTCCTCTGATCTTTTTTTAATTTGAAAGCAAGCTTTGTAATATTGTCTTACTTTTTGTAAAATACATGTCCTTGAAAAGATAAATGTACTCAAAGTTTTCCATTAAAAAGATGTTTACAATCCTTTTTTCTGTGTCATTGTTTGCTTAAATGTGCTTACTTTTCCAGGATGCATTGTCTTCTATGATGATGATTAATGCACACATTATATATTATACTTTAAGCTTTAATAATATATAAATAATAACGATCAATTTGCAGAATGTGAAATGAAAATACAGATGTGGTGTCAGTGTTGAGATCAGTTTAAAATAAATAAATCCATCATTAGACTAATGCTAATGACTTTAAGACTGACTCTATGACTCTATAGCCTTTTGCATGTAGATTGAATTTGACCTACTTGAAAGAAGAAAGGACACAATGAAATGTTGTGGTGACACCGCTGAGATGTCAAACATCAACCTTTGTTCTGCTCTTATGACAATAACCAAGTTGACGTTTCAATAGCAGCTGCATTGTATCATTTAGATAGTATCTGTTAATCATCCTAAATCATATTCCCAAAGGTGGGAACAGGAACACTTTATGGCTATTGTTTGGCTCGTGGTACTGTCAAACCTGAAACAAGGGCTTTTGTAATGACAAATTTCCTTTTTCATTTACACATCTATTTAAATCATTACCTGCTAATTTGACATCAAAATGCACTTTCTGTGTCAATTGCTGTTCCTGCTGTACCGTGTATAGACTTTAGAGGGCGCTATAGGACTGTAAAAATATATGCAAATGTTTTGCAAGGGCCATTGAATGTAATATATCTTTGTATTAAGTTCTTATCACAGTGTTTTACTGTAGATCCCGACAAAGTTGTGTTTGGTTTGTGACCTCTTAAAACAAGGCAATGGCTACTTTTTCCCCCTCATCACAGTCTACAGACTCTAGAAACAGAAAATGAGTTGTGTGCAGTTGAACCGGTGTTCGCTGCTCTGATTGTGTCATTTGAACAGTATTTTATTAGAAAAAAACAGACATATATATAGATTTTTTAAATCTAATTTGTTTGATTGTTTTGTGACCCCACTGATTTATCTTGGGATCACTAGATAATTATAGAGCAGGATATAGATTTTGAAGTGTTGGCAGTTCTGAGTAGTAAATAAACAGTGCTGCAACTGACTAATACTTTTGTGCAGTACAACATTTTCTAATAATCAGCCTTTAAAGCCTTCATCCTACGGTCCACTAAAAACACAATTTTCCTCAGCTGCAACTCGGCATCAAACAAAGAAAACTCATCTGCGCAGTTTGTTGAACCAAGATAAACCTCATGTTAGTGTTTAACTGCAAATCTTGCTGCTGTTCAAAGCCAAACAGACAAAACATGACTGACATGGACAGTGTCCAGAGGTCATTTGAAAGGTCAAACAGCCAGAGACAAGGCTCTGAGAGGGTGAGGGGGGCAACGTCTGTCCACTCCTGAAGCCCCGGCGTCAAAGGTCAAAGTGGACTTTCCAAACCGTCACCCTCGAGTGAGCCATCAGGGGACACGAGTTCCTAACTCCCTCCCCCAGAAACAACGGTTGCTGTCAAACCTGATAGAGGACACACAGGGTGTTCAGGCAGGGGTTAAGTTTGACTGAAGCTGCATTTGGGCCTCCTGACCTCAGCCTGGGGGTCAACTCAATTTCATTTCAATCGATCCATTGAAGGATTTTTCATTATTCACACATGTGACACCGAATCGTTCATTAGATCATAATACAACAAATCAAATAGGTATTAGGTTTTTCACTCCAGTTGAGTACATTTAAAATGATTTTCTGTCTAATTTTATGTGTTTAACTTGTTTGCAAACAGCTTGGTAACATGTGGTTGAATCATTGTCTTTCTCATTTTAAAAAACACTTTGTCATTGGTCCAGTAAGAAAAAAGCTCAATCCTAATGCACTTATCAGATTGAAAAATGGATAAACAAACAACATAATTTCATGAGCACTGGTTCTGGACTGTTTAATCTCTTTTGCTAGCTCTCTGGGGTATGCAGACAACAGGATTTCATGTTGAATATACATGAAAAAGCTTATGATGTAGTTATGTAGCCTCGCCCAGGTAAGATTCATATTATTAAGAACACACAGACTCATAAAGTGATCTGTGATGATAATAATGCTAATTATCTCAACCTCCAATCACTGTAATTTCAGTGTTACCTCAATAGAAAATACTGGGTATAAAATTTGAAACTAGCATTTTGCTAAATTGGGTTGGAAAGGGATTGGCAGTTGTTTAAACCACTTGAAACAAAAATTACCCAATTGGTGTGTTTTGCACTCTGAGTAGAAGACTATGGCTACGTTCACATTGGAGGTAAAAGTGGCCCAAATCCTTTTTGCTAATTTAGTCAGAGTGTGTTCAGATCAGATTTTTTTCATGACAGTGTGTACAGCTTGAATCAAATGGAATCTGATCTTTTAAAATCTAATTTGGGCCACTTTGATATGCGGTCCACATCAGATACAGGTCAGATTTTTTGCAGTGTGACCTCAGTGTGAACAGTCATATATCTGAATTGATGTCACTTTTATGTCACTCTAGATCTATGTTGGTCATGTGGGTCACTTCAGGACTGTGACCTGTTCACACTGGAATCAGATATGGGCCGCGTTTAACAAATAATGTGAACAGCCAAACAAAAAAACATCAGATCTGAGCAATAAATCAGAACTAAGTGCCAAGGCATGCAGTGTGAACGTAGCCTTGCCTAGCTCAGCGGTGCTAAATGCCAACATTAGCATGCCAATATGCTCATAATGACATGCTAACATGTTGATTTTTGCCATTAACCATTTTAGTTCAGCACCGTAACATGCAAACATTTGATTATCAGCACTGAACACTGTTCATTGTGTTAGTGTTCATTAAGGCTAATGAGGCTTGCAAGATTTAAAAATAAAAAAGTCATTGGGTGGTGCCGAGATGACTTCTTTTTGTAGGCCGACCCGGAAGCAGCATCACCCCGGTTCTTTCAAAATACATTTTGTTCAGAAAGATAATATTAACAAATGAACACCACTTTTATGATTTTTGAAGCTTAAATGCAATCGGCGGAAATAAATAGCTAACGTTAGACTATAAACGAATTACACCATCGTTGCATGATCTGCATCTCAAGCTCTAAGCTTTACGTGTTCGGCATGATGACATTGAACATCCGCAACAACCTCTATAGTCTCATTTAGCTTGTGTTAACCACAGACCTTATTTCAGGCATCTAACCAAAAACTCCGAAGTTCAAAAATGATTTATGCTACAGTTTTTAGGACTCATTCCTACAGCACTCTACCGTCGGTCATTTCATGTTAAGTTATAATTAGTTAGAAATGATCTTTTGTGATTGGAGGATTGGGTCAATATTTGTCAAAACTGTTGAAATCTCAAACTAAAGCTACCAGAAACCTTTACAACCAAAAAACATGACAAGATAGGCAATAACAAGCATCCAAACTGGTGAGTTTCATATGTAGCTTTGTATTTAATCACGTGTTGCCCAATAACATCATCTCCACTTGACATAAAAGCATCATTGCATGTGAGAGCTGCAATGAAACACCTGTCTGAAGGACACATCTAACATTTTATTGGGATTTAGATGAAGTTAGGTGACAACATATTGTCAACACTCCAAATGTCTAATTCTGTAAAGAGGAACATTTGGCCTCGAGCAACCTGGTTTAAATCTGTTTATCCACGGATTCAGAAGCAGTATTTCACCTTAACAACCTCATCAGTGTCCTCCACTGACATCAGCAGGGAGGGAGGTTTAAGGTGGTAGAATTGGTTTTGGAAGATGGAAAACGGCTTTAAGGTTTCCTATGTATTAAAATCAAAACATGACCGTCTGCAAGACCCACTGGTGCTTCATCCAAGAGAGCAGAGAAAGGGAAGTGAAGAGCGTATGCACATTCTTCTAGCAGGACTATTTTTTAAATTTATGATTCTAGAAATAAAATTAGAAACCTATGATAAAGAGTACAGAATGTCTGTATGTCTTATGTTTGTTATGATGTTGTGATTATATTTATTTGTAGAAACACAAACACAACTAAACCCAAAGGATAACTAAAATACTTATATGCTCCCAAGATGTTAAATGTCCATTACAGGACCAACATTCAGCTGCTACTCGGATAAACTAAATGTTATTATACAATAGAGAGCTAAATCATGTTTTTTATACAGTTGCCACAATTTATTTCCATTTAAATATAATATGGGATCTCCCAAGGCTCCATTCTGGGATCATTGTTGTTTGGCCTTACTAGATCTGCATTGCTTGGCCAAACCTCTATCTATATACATATATAAAGAAACAAAAATAGTGAGGTAGAAATACTCCATAATCCAGTTAGTCAAGACTAAAATTTTTGTTTATTGTACCACAGATTTTTTATAATAATGGTTTTCAGCTGAGTAATGAACAAATATTTGGACAGGATATCAGCACATAAGCAGTTTGATTCACAGCCATTATTTAAAAAAGCTCAAAGTTCAATAAAGAGCTCATTTTCACTAAACCAACAACCACTGCTGTAACTGTAATGACAGACTGCTAACACCTCCAGTCTTCAGTAATTCGCCTCCATTGTTCTTCCCTTCCTCTGGCCTTGGTAGCCATGTTTGTTCATAGAACAACTCAGCCATGTTGTTATCGTAATTATCTCACAGTGCTGCTGGAGTCCAGCTGCGACAGCTTCACTCATACAGTTAGGAAATGATAAAGGCAGCGCAGTTTAAACAAAGTGTTGGGTTTTACAGAAGGTCCAGAGGAAAGGTCTATATTGAATCCTAAACACAATGGATTTATTCTTAAGGCATTACTGTACATTCCTGAGAATGAGAACGAAACTGTGTAGTCCCATGGTACACTGGAGTTACTGTTTATTAAAGTCAGCCACTGGATAACATAGAAAATATGTCAGTTCGCAGTGAGACCCTACTAGATTGTTGTTGCTGTTGATTTTGATTAAAGGAAAGACATGATTAAAAAAGTAGTGCTGTTGACTTTGCTGTCATCTTTGAACAGATTTATTGACATTATCAGATAATGTTACAATCCAACAGGC